TGTAGGAATAAAATTTATATTTTTCTTATTTTCTTAATTGTTGTTATCATTCTGTTAACCAGAAACACTTCTGGTATTATATTTATGTTTTTTCTTATCTATACGAGTAAAAAAGATAGAAAAATAATTAAGTTTTATATATAACTATAGTGAAAAATTGTATTTCTCTACTGTGAAAATATTTGGTACAAGTAATCAATGAGAAGAGTTCTCAAGAACGGAGTAATTGAACGAATTTAAATTTGAAATCATGGGTAATTATTCAGATCTTTATATATAACTTTTTATTTAATAAAAAACAGTAATAAATAATTAGTAAAAGTGCGCTACACTACATATTATTTTTTTTTTGCAATATTATATCTTAGAAAAAGAAAATCATATTAAAATAGATATACTTTCAGGTTGTTTTTTTTGAAGTAATATAGTCTTCTACTATTTAGAAGTCAGTATCAGTATGTATATTTGTTTATATTATTATAATTATGTATATTGTCTTTATTATCTTTATTTTATTTTTATTTTATTTTTATTTTATATTTATTTATATATTATTTCATAGTTATTAATTAATTTAATTTACTAAAATTTGAGGAATGCATTGTGGCTGAAGAAGTTTTACTCTCATCTGAAAAGATATTTATGGTTATATTTCACTATAAATATTAATGTAAAAAAGAAGGAAAAGAAAAAGACAAAAGAGTAGATAGCAATATTAAGGTTTTCATCTGCATTAATAAATGGTATAAAATAAAGTACTTTAATTATTTTTCTCTATTGTTACTTTATATATATTATATCAATATAATAAAATTTTATTTTTAATATACAGAATATACAGAATATACAAAAAACATATTATAGCATAGTACAATATTTTTGTATTCTCGGTATAAAATAATTTTATTTAAATATTTAAATATCAATATGTATAAATATTAAAAAAGTATACATATCTTTTAAAAAAATATTATTGCACTGTTTAACATTTATTTATATATATCTCTTCTTCCATCAACCTGATCAACATCAAACTTTTCTGATTATTTTTTTTTCTCAATTTTTGTTTTTGTGATTTAATAATATATACAGTGTAGTACCTTAATAATAATCATCTTATTTATCTTTTGATCTAGTAAACAAAATTTTTTTTAAAATAATTTAATTAAACATATTATTAAAAATCCTTCTATATTGATTTTTTAATCTATTTTTAGTAATTGACAATAATTGAATTTGTGTTACTGGCTGTGAAATATGATTAAGCACATGGATAAATACAGTATCACATGGTCTTTTCACATAAGGTAGTATTCAAAAATTCAAATTTTAATTGTTGATCCACATGTGATCAATAGAAATTATGACATTATGTTTATTAGTAGAAAAAATTCTATTTGAAATCTCTTTTTCCTCATGTTAAAAAATCATATAATTTCAGGAAAGCTTGTTGCAACTGGAAATATTATTTTGAAACTTCATTATAGTTTATATTTATGTGATTGGTAAATTTTTTCTAAAGAAAAAACTTAAGAAACTCAAAAAAAAATACTTATACAGTGAATCTTCTATAAATGCATTTTCTATGTGACAAATTGGTGCCTCCTGTGAGGTTGTGAAAATTTATTAGTTTAGTTTAGTTTGTTTTTATTTATCTTTATTTCCCTCTATTTTTATTAGTTTATATTTTTATTTATGATTGAATTAGAAGAATTGAATAATATTATTTTAGAATTAACTGAAATTTATTGTCAGAAAATAAAATACATAGTTGATCAAACCCCTATTGACCAAGATCCAGTTTGGAAATTAACTGATCTTGAAGAATTACGCAAAATTAAAGAACAATTAAATTTAGTTTTTAAAATTAGAGATAATTGTGTACAAGTTTTGAAAGATTTAGAACTTCTTAAAAGTTATTCTTCCCAATAGTATTAGTTATTATTTTCTTTAGTAATATTTTATATTTTTATCCCTATTTTTATATTTATACATTTATCCTTTATTTGTATTAGTATAGTTATAATCCTTAACAAAAATTATCATATACATATGCTATTTTGTATCTTTTACACTTTGTTATTTTGTATATTGATTTCATTACATATTATAACTCAACTCTCGATAATATTCCTAAATTAATCAATAAATTCGTTAATTAATTTAATTTACTTCGCTAATTACTAAAACCAATTGATGCATTTGTTAATATTTATTTGTTGAACATAAGTTAAAATATTTTAGTAATTATTCATTAATTGGAAGTTGATTCGAAAATAATATTGACCAATTCCTTTATTCTAATAAAATTATAAGATTATAAAAACATAACAAATATTTATATATAAAATATCTAAAATGGGCTCCCGACATAGGAGGTGTTAAACCTTTTAATTCTAAGAAGCCTACACAGATGCCACGCCTATATGATATTTAGATATTCCGTTGCAAAGGAATGCAGAGAATAGGTCAATTTAATGTTACCCTTATAAGCAAAGCAGAGCCACGAATCACTTATGGAAAATTTCTACAAATCTATCAGAGAGTAAAATCTCATTAAATTAAAATTAATGAATTACTTTCTTACTCAAACTTATTAAATTCTTAAAGAATATTCTAATCGTTTCAGGAAAGAAATTTAATAGTGCCATGTATTGTGTGTAATAAGAAATTATAATTATGGCTACATGGAGAAAATCTAAAGAATATTCTAACGCTAATGTGAAATTTTAAAATTGATCGTCATTCGTACAATAGAATGCAAATTGCCAAATCGTTTGAAAAATTTTTAATATTTCAAAATCTATATAAATGACAAGCATTCAAAATCAAACTCATTTAAAACAGTAGTATTATTTCTAATTTCGCATCCTTATAAGTAATATAATGCGCATAAAGTGAATTCCTTCTATATAATAAATTCATCACAATTGAAAATTTATTAATTTTATTCCATTTCAAATTTTTTTTAATAGAACTTTGAATTCAGTAAATTTTATTAAAGTTTTTGACAGACAAAACTTTACACAAATGGGAACTATATGTTACAAAGAAATTGAAACAACCAAAGATAAAGAGAAATTTCAGTGGTACTTGAAATCAGCTGAAGCAGGAAATCATATAGGACAGAATAATCTTGGTGATTGCTATTATTTTGGAACTGGAACCACAGAAGATAAAGAGAAAGCATTTCAATGGTACTTGAAATCAGCTGAAGGAGGAAATAATGAAGGACAGGATAATCTTGGACATTGTTATAGAAATGGAATTGGAACCACAAAAGATGAAGAGTAAGCATTTCAGTGGTACTTGAAATCAGCTGAAGGAGAGGACCACAGAGGACAGAATAATCTCGGATATTGTTATCAAAATGGAATTGGAACTACAAAAGATGAAGAGATAGTGGTGGACAAATTAACCTTGATTATTGCTATCGAAATAAAATTGTAATTTCTAAGCTTAAAAATAATCAAAATAAATTAAAACATAGATGTCATGATTGTGAAAAATTAAATTTACAAAATAATATATGTTCAAGTTGTAAACTTTTAGAAAAGCAAAAATGGACTAGTGGTAATGATAAAATTGATAAGATTATTCAAATGACTCAATCGGATGATGATGCAAAAGATTGGGAAATTTGGAGATGGATAAATTATAGTAAATTCAAAAATATAGAATATTTAGCTAAAGGAGTGTTTGGCAGTATTTGGAAAGCAGAATGGATAGATATGCCTGAAGAGTTATTTGAATTTTATTAATCAAATAAAGTTGCCTTGAAGAAGCTTAAGGATTCACAAGAAATTAGTTCAGAATTTTTAAAAGAGGTAAATATTAAATATATCAATATATAAATATATTTTTATTTAATATAAACGTAATTTATATTTTTATAAATATAGTTAAAGGCAAATTTCCAATGTCGAGATAGATATGTTTTACCAATTTTAGGTATAACTCAAGATCCAAAGACAAAAGAATATGCAATAGTTCTACGATATATGAAAAATGGAAATTTAAGAGATTTTCTTAAACAAAATAAGTTATTACCTTGGATTGAACGATTATGGTTATTGAATACTTTTATCAGGGGATTAAAAATTATTCATAGTAAAGGACTTATCCATCGTGATCTTCATCCTGGCAACCTTATGATAACTGAAATATATAACAATCCAAAATACAAATTCGTAAGATTAGGAGATTTAGGATTATGCAGATTTGCAAATGAAATCTCATCATCTGGAGCATATGGTATATTACCATATATTGCACCTGAAATCTTGCATAAATATCAATATACGCAAGCTTTAGTTTAATTTCAACAGGGAAAATACCATTTGCTATTAGAGCATATGATTCAGAATTAGCTTTTGATATTATTGGTGGACTTCGACCAAAAATTAGTAGAGACACACCTCAGTGTTATGTGGAATTAATGGAAAAAAGTTGGCACAAAGATCAACCAAGCATCCAAATGCTGAAATGATTTTTAATGCATCGGAAAAATGGATTGAAGAATTGATGTATAATGATAAAACAGAACATTCGCTTATATTTTTAAAAGCAAATGAAAAAATACAAGATGAAGATTTTGAATTATTATCTGCTGAAACTACTCATTCTGAGGCATACCTTACAAGTCATCTTTTACCTTCATCTTCACTGTTAAATATTCAACCTTCTTCTATTTTAAATTTTAATATCAATAAAATGAATTTTAATTTAAAAAAAATTAAAATTTGTTTGAATTACTTTATGCAATCAAAATTTTAAACGAATTTTAAATTTATTTAACATAAATTTTTTAATTGTAATGTCTATAAATCACTCCATTTTAGTTTATATTATTTGCTCTATAAAAATTATATAATGTATTTTTATGAAACTAAATAAATATATTGCATTATCAACATTTCTAATTTAATGCATTATTAATTTCACAACACAACATTCATGTATGGTGCAACTTTTATATTTTCTTTTATGAGGGCTTTACAATGGTAGTAAAATTATCATTTCATCATCAAGTTGTTGCTCAGGCTTATTCTAATAAGCCCAACTCAGGAGCTTTAGGTATGAATCATAAACCATTTATATTGTGGATTTACAGTATAATAAAATGTATATCAGTTGGATTTGAATATATCGAGGACATAGCAGATTTCGCTTATGCTTTTGATAAAGTTAAAGAGTCGCAGAAATAAAATAAAAGTATTGAATTTAATAAGGTCTCAATTGATTTCTTCACTTTTACAAAATTGGAATTAACAATTTTCTTTAATTATTCTTTACTAAGAATTGCATTTAAGCTTTGGTCGCGTATTTTCCATTGTTACTGAATGTTTACGACACTTATTGTCTACCAATGAATTTAAATAATGTTGGAATATTCAGATATGGAAACTAACATAATTAAAAAAAAAAACTATTTATTACATTTGAAACGCCCATTGAAATTCGATCTTTTAAAAATCATTCATTTTATTAAATTTAAAATAATAAAAATACAATAGAATATACTGTACGCGTTCGTAAGATTTCAATCATTAAACCAAATTTCAAACAGCAATTTTCATGCCAACCTCAATAACCTTATCAACTGGGATTTCCCAGTTTGCATAAATTTGTCTCGAATTTTTTACAAGAAATGAATATGTTTCTAAAAAAGCTCGTTTCCACCAAGGAGAATTTGATTGTGCTACAAGTTTTTGATGCCCAATTACATAAGTGACAACTTCATTTTCGAGGTTTCCTAATGTGGTTTCCGCTTTAGGATCAATTTCACATATTGCAATAATCAATTTCTTTATAAATTCTTCTCCTTGATAAATATTTTCCGTATAACCATATCTTCCAATTACCTGGTAGACCTTTTCATAATTGCCAACTTTTTTTACAATCAATCGATCTTCTTCACCCACCAGAGGAATAGTAATTGGACGAATTGTAATAAATATAAGAATTTCCGGAACAGCTGGAAAATGATGAATAAAATGACAAAAACTCAAAGGGACTCCCATTCCAGCTTCTTTATAAAATAAACCAATCCCAGGAAGACGATTGACGGGGAAACCTGTGCCTAAAAGTTGAAGTTGAATGTTTTTAGATTTTTGTCTCACTATTGTTTGCAAAATTTCATCAGTTTGATCACTATCTTCACTATTGGATTCTTGTGCTTCTTTTTCTGGAAAGTTACTGGCAAATATATCATCGAGTCTTGTCTTATTTCTGAGTTCATATTTCACTTTGAGAGTAGTGCCCCATCGCCATATCAGCATTACAAACAACAACAAAGTGGCAATAGATAAAGTAAACCAGCCTCCTGATTGGACCTTTAATAGTGTTGATCCCAAAAATGCACTATCGATAAAACCAAATACCAAAAAGAAGACTATAGCAACGATAACTGGAAGATTGAAGACAACGCAAATTACAATAGCATAGAGAATTGTTGAGATAAGCATGACACTTGCAACAGCCACACCTGAATAATTATATAATTAATTTAAATTAAATTAAAATTAATAAAATCATCGAAAACTCTTTAATACTAACCATAGGCTACAGTAAGATTGGCACTGTGTTGGAATGCTATAATGATGATCAAGATAGAACCCAATAAAATGTAATTGACCTAAAAAAGATGAGGATTAGTATTTGACGAAATTAAATTGAGAGAGATATAAATGTTATAGTGATTGCCTCAGGAATATAAATCGACCCTTCAATTTTCTTGGAAATGTGCACAATCTATTAAGAAGATATTAAGAAATTAACAAAATATTACTTTATGTAAATATAAATTTTGTAAGTATTAAATCAATTACCTCTAAAAGTGGTAAACAATCCAATTGCATGGCTTGACGAACCAGTGAAAAGGTAGCCAAAATCATAGCTTGAGAAGCAATTATGGTAGCAAGTGTGGCCAAAATAAATACGATCCAATAAATAGGACCATCGGTACTCGGTAAAGTTAACCAAAATGTATTTTCACTCACTGCAGGATCTAATACAAGACGAGCACCTTGGCCCAAGTACGCAAGGGTTAAAGATGGAAATGCGAAAAATGCGAAAGAGACTTGAATAGAAATCCGATTAAAATGGCCTAAATCAGCAAACAGAGCTTCTACTCCTGTGATTGCCAAGAGAACACCGCCAAGGATATGATAACTCGAAGAGCCATTCCGTATAAAGTATTCAAAGGCATAATATGGGTTAAAGGCTTTTAAGATAGATGGGTCATGAGATATATTCCAAATTCCGATAGTGGCAAGAGATATAAACCAAAGACTGACGATAGGCGCAAAGAGAATGGAAAGTCGACTCGTTCTTTGTACCAAAAACAAGCATATCATAATCAAACTATTTGAATTTTTATATAACAGATATAATTTAGAAATTCATCATAATAATTGATGACATAATTTATGTTATATATTATATAATTATATTTTTTTCTTTACCAACTAATAGGAACAGTAGCATTTTTTAGACTTGGTGCGGGAATCACAATACCCTCGACAGCAGACAATACAGATATAGCGGGAGTGAGTAATCCATCACTCAATACCAAAGAAGTTCCAAACAAGACCAAAACGAGTAAAGCTCTTTGCACGAATTTACTTCTTTTGATAAAATTTGGTTTTTCTTTAATGCTATGGACAGACATAGAATCAAAATTCGCAATTGTCAAATCATCGTTGTTTCCTCCTCGAATAGATAATCCGGAGTATCTAAATTAAAAGAAATATTTCGATATATTTTTTATGTTTTTTTTTTTGATGGATATTGGAAAATCCATAAATCTTTCATAGCACAGCCTACCTGCTTAACAATGAATACAAAGCAAATGTACCACCCTCTCCATTGTCATCAGCTCTCAAGATAATAAATACATATTTGAAAAATGGGATGATTGCCTAAATTATTGATTTTAGAAATAAATTGCCTTAACTTTTTCATATTTTTTACCTAAATAAAAAAAAAAAAAAAATCGGAAACTCACCAAAGACCAGATAATTAAAGACAATGTACCTATTAAAAATAAAGTCAGAACATTAAATGACAATTTGTCTAAAACTAAATTAATGTTATAAAAAATGGCTTACCATAAACGTCTCTAGGATCAGTTGGAGGGTCGGGAAAAATACTGGTAAATACATACAAAGGCGAAGTTCCAATGTCACCATAAATTGTACCTAATGGTAAAAAAAGGCGGTTAATGATCAAAATATAAAAGCGAGATAAAAAAAAAATATGCGTACCGATCGTTTTATAAGCCAAAATAAGATTCCCCACAAAACCAAAGGTCTATAAGAAAAAAATTTTCTTTCAATTATTTTTTCACAATCTCTCCTAATTGATAAAAGATACCTTCTGTATTTCATGTCTATTCTCAAGGTCCATATCTAATTCTTTATTTTTTCCATTACTCTTTAAATAATCATTATTTACGGTTTCGGTCATTTTTTTTTTGTTTAACTTTATTTCTTAAAAATTATAAATTCAAAAAATATTTTTGGTCATTAAATAAATAAAATTACGAATTCCATTTCCATATTTAAAAAAAAAAACAATATGTATAACTGTTATTAGGCGTACTATACAATGCTTATTTTTATTATATTATTTAATTATATTTGTATGACAAAGTTTATTTATATTCTTTATTACTTAATCGATCACATTCAGATTGGTTCAAGAACCTTCTTTTGCCGATCAGACCCAATTCTTTTTTAAGTTTGTTAATTCTATAACCACATATTGATTACGGAACATAAATAAAAATCATGAATAAATACATTGTGTAATAATTGCCAAGTGAAATGACAATCGCTAATGTGTAAGTGAATTTAGTTAACTTTAAATATTAACATATCAACCCTAGTCCAAACTTTAAATAGACCAAGTTATTAATGTGATCATCGTGATCAAAATAATATGGTTTCTTTTTTCGAATCACATACACAATCGCCTAAAAATATATGTACCTTCACTATACACAAGCCCGATGTGGAAATTTCCTTTTTGAATTTCGGCACCCATCTCTGTGGCAGACTATATTGTTTTTTCATGAATTACTAAAAATATAGGACGTGTTCTGATTCTTACTCTTTGATCTCGTTAATATCATTTTACTTTCTACAAAAGGCAATTCAATTAAAGATTAACGACCCTACCAACATGTGAAAAATTCTGACACAGATAACAAGTAGACAGCAAGGATCATTGCACGCGAAAATAAAATTAAAAAAAAAATGCTCATATCATTATATTATAACTAATTTCCATCTATTGTAAAATTTTGGCGAACTTTGGTTAATGCTTTTAGCAATACTTTTCTTCCATCTAGCTCTACAAGATCTCCAAACCACACCCGGTCACCTTATAAACACGACTGACTACGTTTTCGACAAACTATTACCAAGCTCCTTCAGGAAATTTTGTATTTTCACACAGGTGTTTCACCAAAATTGGTAAAAAGTTGTTTTGTAAATTAATATGCATAGATAATAAGATTGTATCACAGATAGCAAAGATAACAAATTTCAAAGATTAAAAAGAACATATTAAACCAATTTAGTTGACACAAATTTTATAAGTTTAAGCAAATTTACTTCAATATTTTTAATATAGAACAAATAAATGATGCAAGAAATGTTTTCATTAATTCTGAAGTTTCTGATTTTATACATATTGATCAAATTGAAAGATTACATATAATGTTTAATAATTTACTAATATCTATTGAAATTAAACATCCATCAATTAAGTTTAACAAATGATATGTATGCACAAAAATTTAATTAAAAATTATTACTCCAATTTGATGTGTCATAAAATAAAACTTTAAAGTTATGGGTAGGAAAATTCTAATTATTGGCTTAAGGGAAAGTAATATATACTAATGATGCAGACATAATTTTAAAATATATGTAATTATAATATACATAAATCTTTTATTGTTTGCACTAAATGAATTTATCAACTTAGTAAATTGAGTAAATTGCCAGAATAAAGACTTAAATGTGTTGTTTCACAGATGAAGCAGAAAGAATCCTCCAAGTAATAGAGTATAATAGTAAAAGTTTTTGGTTATTTTGGATCGCTAGATATATTTTATCATAATGAGTTGATCAATCAAAAAATACTGTGGTATTTCAAAATCAAGTATTTATAAACCTCTGTTACAATGCAAGATCTTTTTCTCGCTTTAACTTTTGAACATCTAAGAGCACAATTAAAATCAAAGTAATAAATTGTAGTAAATTCATCGTTAAGCATCGTATTAATATACCACTGTTTTATCAATATAATTATAAATGAAAAACCTGTAAAACATTTAATATCTCCATTAGAAATCCTCTGTAAGGCAGAAATTCCATCTGGTGATATATTTACACTTACAATAAAGAAAAATTACCATAATTTAGTTAAACCTTGAAGATACGGTAATTAATATAATAAAAATCTTTAATAATTACATACTTTTACAATAAATTATATGACCATGCATGATCTTAGAAATATAATTACATATAATACAAAATCGAACATTCCTGGTCAATCAAAAAAAAAAAGAAGAAAAAGAAGAATTATTAATTTAATTTATAAATTACTCAAAGTCAACATTAAGAACATTAAAGATTAATACTTCGTTTTGTACATCGAGAATATAATAAGTTTGAATTAATATTATTAAATATAATTATAAATTATTATTAAGATTAATAATGATTAATAATCTTTATAATATTGTACTTGCATACATTTTAATTTCTTCCTAAAATGAAGTTTTTCAAATTATATTAATTGAATCTCCCATATATCTTTCACTCAATATATCACTCTCTCAATATACCACAATATATTTCTCTAAATATATAATTATTACTTACTTCCGGCTTTCTCGTAAAAGTTAATATTGCTGTAGTTTTTCCTGTACCGAGGGGTCCATATTAAATTTGGAACTTGATCTTTTACAATAAATCTTTCAACTTAATGATATCACAAATAATAATAATACATAACTTATTTAAATAAATAATATGTACTTGTTGAAACTACATCCTCGTGTGGAACATTTCTTCAAGTGTTTGAGGACGATATTTTTCTATCCTATTAAATATATACTGTACATAACCTTAAATTTTTTGTTTTTAATTGTTTTAAATTATTTTGCTATATAGTGAATTAATTAGATAGCGCCTGTACTAAGAGGGTATAAATATCTAATGTTATACGATCGGGATATTTCTTAAGTGCTAAAAGTACTGGTCGCAATTCTTTAAGAAATATCAAGTTCAATGTCTTTGACAAAAAACGATTAAATCTAGGTTAAAGAAAAAATAATAAAAAATATAAAAAAAAAAATCTTCTATATCCGAATTCCATACTTTTCTTCTCTTCGATCACTTTTATGAATTTATCTTCTAATTCTTCTAAAATTCCTGCATAAATATTGTATCTTGACATACCACTGTATTCGAGTAGTGGATAAGCATTCTGGAATTTTTTATATATTAAGTTAATAAAAAATATAGTAGTTGACTTTTTGATTTCGTTAAGTGCTTAGAGATGCAATATTTGCGATGTTGACTTTATACTGTTCTTGGATCGCTGAAATCCCTGTAACAGGATCACTATCATCAAGAACTAAACCAAGGCGACGTGTACCTTGGGTCCTGTCATATAACAATCTAGATCGATTTGTATTTTTTACTCTGACAGCACACAAGCACAACGGAATTTTACCTAATTGGCTAATCTTTAACCACTCGATTCTTTAAATTATCTTTAATGTATTTTATTATTTTATTTCATATCATTCAGTACTTATATATAATTTAAAATACAATAATAATACTCTTTTCGGAATAAAAAATTATAATTAATGAGACAGATGCAACTCAATAACGTTATTATATATTATAGTAATGGTCATAAGTATCCGACCCCCTGTATAAATAAATTCTATATTATAAAAACTCCTCAAATTTCCCAGGTATAAAGTGTGACTCGACTCCTGATCACCAGTACATTCATAATATTTTTGAATGATTATCTGACATTACGCCACAAAAATGGAACTTTCTCTTGAAAAATGATATGAAATAATTTTTTTGCACAAACACTCAGCAGGAATGAAGTGGGATTTTGCAAAAATAGCATCATTTATTCACTGTTGTAAGACCACAGTTATTTATTGGATCAAAAAATACTGTAAAAATAAAGATCTGAGTGATGAAGGAAGGTCAGGTCATCTGCGATGTATAACTGAGAAGCAAGATAAACAAATAATGGAGATGGCAAGACAGAACACAATATAACAAGCAACCAAATAAAAATAAAAAAATGAATAAACATAGTACTGATATTAGTGTAAGAACTGTAAAGTAAAACCTTCATAAAGCTGGAGGTAAATATATTAATGAAATTTCAAAACCTTTACTTACAAAGAACCACTGAAAAAATAGCTACAATGAGCAAAGGAACATCAGGACTTTAACTGGAATCAAGTTATTTTTACAGACAAAAGTACCTTTCAACTATTTTCACAAAAAAAAAGATCTGACAGTTTGTTGAGAGGAAAAAAATATTTTATACTGTCAAGTGTTTATAAAAAGTCCATGTATGAAGGTGTTTTTTGATTTTGGAATTTGGTAAATTGGTATATTTTCAAAGAAACCTTAATGCCAATTTTATATGCAAAGTATATGAGAAGGAACTTCTACCTTCTGCCTCTGAGTTTTTTGGTAAGGATAACTTAGACTAGTTTCTTTAGGAAGATAATGATCTCAAGTATCAGTCAAAAATTTGCACAAATGAAAGGCAGAAAAGAAAATTAAGATACATCCCTGGCCATTAATGTTGCTGGATTAAAATCCTATAGAGAATGTTTGAAGGTTAATGAAGATAAATATTGCAAAAAAAAAAAAATTTGAACAGCTAGAAATTTAAAGGAAAAATTAATAAAAGAATGATATCAATTCTCACCTGATCTTGCAGAAAAATTGATAAATAATATGAGACATCATGTATTGACACTTATAGATTTAAATGGAGACTATACAATGTATTAATTATTATTGTTAGTCATGTATTTTTTAATAAAAAAATTTTATTAAATATACTTATTTGTAAAGGGAATTAGGAGAGATCAGATACTTATGACCACTACTGTATATTTATTTTTCACTTATCATATTATATAAGTAATTGTCAAATATTTTATATGGTAAACTTTTATCAAATATTTTTATTTTTTGGTTGTCAAAATTCATCTGTGCTTGTAAAATTAATTTTGAGTTCACTTCATTATAAGAAAAAAATAAATAAATAATCAAATATAAAACAAAATTATCAATTTCAAATTTCAATATAAAATATTTCTCATGGAAATAAAAACAGTTAAACATGCTTGAATAGAATTAAACATACTTTTTTCATGGAGCCCTTGCAAGTTGAACCCAATATCTAGCACTCACTATATCTAACGTATTATAAACTTATATTCACAAAAAGGAAAAGAAAAAGAATGTATAAATTTATAATAAAGAATAGAAACAAAACATTTTCTATTTCTAGTTTACTATCAAATAATAACTAAATTTTTAATTTTTATTGTACTTGAATAGAGCATATACAAATGGTATAATCAAAAAAATATCTAGTTCTAATAATAAAAGAATCAATAAAGTTATAGAAGGAAACAATCAACATTTAATAATATAAGTTTGTAACATTCTATGAACATAATGTAAATTTTTCTAAATATTTACAAATTTATATAAATAAAAAGAATTTAAAAAACAATAGTATTATTTCTATTTTATATCCTTATAAGTAATATAATATACATAAAGTGAATTCATTTTTATAACCTTTTTATATAATAAATTCATCACAATTGAAAATTTATTAATTTTATTCCATTTCAAACTTTTTTTAACAGAACTTTGAAATTCAATAAATTTTATTAAAGTTTTTAACAGACAAATCTTTACATAAATGAAAACTATATATTACAATAAAATTAAAACAACCAAAGATAAAAAAAAATTTCAGTGATACTTGAAATTTGCTAAAGTAGAAAATCATATAGGATAGAATAATCTTAATGATTGCTAATATTTTGAAATGAAAGACAAGATAATCTTAGATATTACTATCAAAATGGAATTGGAACTACAAATATGAAGAGAAAGCATTTCAGTAGTATTTGAAATCAACTAAAGGAAGAAATAATAATGGACAGAATAATCTTCAAAATTGTTATCAAGCTGGAATTGGAACTACAAAGGATAAAAAGAAAGTATTTCAGTGGTACTTGAAATCAGCTGAAGGTAAAAACCATTTGGAATAGAATAAACTTGGATATTGTTATTATAACAGAATTGAAACTACAAAAGATAAAGAGAAAGTATTTCAGTGATATCTAAAACAGCTGTAGGGAGAAATCATATAGGACAGAATAATCTTGAAAAGTGCTATTATTATGGAAGAGAAGTCAGAAAAAATGAAAAGAATATATTTCTGTAGTACTTAAAATTAACTGAAAGATGAAGGACAGGTCAATTTTGGATATTGTTATCAAAATGGAATTGGAATTACAAAAGATAAAGAGAAAGTATTTCAATGGTACTTGAAATCAACTGAAGAGGAATATCATAAAGAACAAAACAGTTTTGGTTATTGTTATTAAAATGAAATTGAAATTTCTAAACTTAAAAATAATCAAATAAATTAAAATGCAGATGTCATGATTTTAAAAGTTTAAATATAAAAAATAATATATTTTCAAGTTGTAAACTTATAGAAAAGTAAAAATGAACTAGTGGTAATGATAAAATTAATAAGATTATTCAAATGACTCAATTGGATGATAATACAAAAGAATGGAAAATTTGAAGATGGATAAATTATAGTAAATTCAAAAATATAGAATATTTAGCTAAAGAAGGGTTTGGCAATATTTGGAAAGCAGAATGGATAGATATGTCTGAAAAGTTATTTGAATTTAATAAGTCAAATCAAGTTGTCTTGAAGAAGCTTAAGGATTCACAAGAAATTATTTCAGAATTTTTAAAAAAAATAAATATTAAATATATCAATATATTTTTTATCTAATAAATATAATTTATATTTTTTATAATATAGTTAAAGACAAATTTCCAATGTCAAGATAGATATGTTTTATCAATTTTAGGTATAACTTAAAATCCAAAAACAAAAGAATATGTAATAATTCTAAGTTATATGAAAAATAAAACTTTAAGAGATTTTCTTAAATAAAATAAATTATTACTATAGATTGAACAATTATAATTATTGAATACTTTTATCAAAGGAATAAAAATCATTTACAGAAAGAACTTATAAATCATAATCTTTATCCTGGAAATCTTATGACAACTAAAGTATATAACAATTCAAAAGGTATGAAAAAAAACTCTTCCCATCAATCACTTGTACCAAATATTTCCACAGTAGAGAAATATAATTTTTCACTATAGTTACATATAAAACTTAGTTATTTTTCTATCTTTTTTACTTGTATGGATAAGAAAAAACATAAATACAATATCAGAAGTGTTTCTGGTTAACAAGATGATAACAATAACCAAGAAAATGAGAAAAATATGAATTTTATTCCTATGGTTAGCAACATACAAAATAAAAATAATACAACTATGAATATAGAAGAAGAAATAAAGATACCTTTGGTACCAGTGCATGCAAGTAAAAAAAGAGCTGTTAGAGAGTCATTTGAAGAAGAAACAGAAATAAATATTAGTAATGTTGTTAAACC